CAAAATTGCATGATCATGTCCACATCGTGTTTGTACAAGTGTACAACTGCGCAGTTCACGACTTGCCTGCTGGAAGCGTAGTACCCGCTGCAACAGGTGGGACTAGATTCTCCTTGCTGACCTCGCAGGGCTGACCACGTTGGCTGCCCTCCCAGCTGTACCTGAAGGCAAGGCTGCCACAAAGCGCTTCCTGCTCTGTGTTGCACAAGGGGCCGTACTTCTTCGTTGCCCTGTCTCCTTTCCGGCTTGTGAACATGAGCCGTAGCCGCCACTTCCCCTTAGACCTCTCTGGATAGCATACGGGTTCAGAGGTTCTCTGCCAGCCATTGCGTGTGACTGCTTCTACTAGGCTCTCCATGCTGTGCACTCCTCGGTGCCAGCGGGTGCTGTGTGCATCCGTTGTGCACAATTTCAAACAAAAATGAAATTCCGCCGCAAAAAAAAGCGTTTCATAATTTTTTTTCCCAGTCTTAAACCCAGATAAAATGCGGAGGGTTATCTTCTTTGGAGAGAATGTGTTCAACACGATTTCCAGAGGCATGGGCAAATCCGCTGTGATTGGCTGATTGAGCAGATGTGCCGAGCTCGTTCCAATTCTGATTCCTTCAAAATTTATGGCTGGAAGACTGAATGTTAGCTTCTTGGCTGGCCCAGCTTGTAGGTGTCGACTAATTCGTCGGGTGCATGTCGTTTCAACGAACACTGCCGAAAAGCAATCATCATGGTCACATATACGCTAGTTCGCGTGGCGCATACTTTCCACTCGCTTCTTTTCTCCCACTCTACTTTTCGTGACCAGCCGGCACCCACTCGGCAGACCCTATCAACACTTTTTGGTTTCTTACAAACAACCGCTGCGCAAAAAACGAGCATGCCCTCCTCAAACACAACGAGCAACACACCTACACTGATCTACCATGAGAAGGGACAGACTCCCCAAACAACATCAGCACATACCAGAAAAAGAAAGACCAAGAAAAGCAACGAATAATCCGCAACAACGACAGCGAACACCCCCCACTTGCAGTTTCGGGAAGCGACACGGCGAGATCTAGAGGGAGAGCGGGTCCGGTTCGAGGCCGGGCGGAAGCGGGCGAGGGAGGCTGCGGGTAAGGAGCTGGATGGGGCCAGATCTGCAGAGGCGAGCCGAGCAGCCTTGGCGGCGGACGAGCACGCCAGAGAACTCCGAGGGGTGAGGGATCATCGTCGTCTTGGTCTCTGTTGTTGTTGTTGTTGTTGTTGTTGTTGTTGTTGTTGTTGTTGTTGTTGTTGTTGTTGTTGTTGTTGTTGTTGTTGTTGTTGTTGTTGTTATTGTTGTGGTGGTGGCGGTGGTAGTGGTGGAGTTTGCCGTTGTCACCCACAACCCGTCTTGATTTTTCCGGGAACTCAAGTCAAACCATGCAAAGGCTTGATTGCCCGCTTGGAGTTTCGTTCGAACCAAAGTTTCAGCCTTGCTTCTGATGATAGTCCTGTTCTGTCCAAGACCAAGACTCTGTTGCCCTCGGGAATGAAAAGTTCTGCACTCCGTTACTACTTCCCACAGGCGCTTGATCCAGCCCATTGCTATGAATTTTCTGGTAGCTTGAACCAATCGTGTATATTTTGTACGGTCCAGATCGAGGAGGCCCATCGGCAGGAGGAGGCGGAGGCGCGCCGGAGACTAGCGGAAGAGACGGATAGATGGCAGAAGCAGATGCAAGCGTCAGCGCGCAAGGAGGCGGAAGAGCACGACGAAATTGCGAAACGCGAAGCTAGAGAAAAGGTGTGCCGTATGTTGGCCGGGGTTCGGCAAGAAGAGGCCGGGGGGGGGGGAGGGACGACATACCCGACGCGTTGTGTGGTGGGGGGGATGCTCAAATGTGTCAACGTCTTTCGTGATCGTGGGTGCATGTTGCCATAGACCATTCCAGAATCCCTTCTCTGCCGGAGGCCCAAGCGCCGTGCCTTGAAGGTTAAGGGAGTAGACAAAGTGAAACTCTCACAGAGAATGAACTTTCACGTTTGCACTTGGGATGGGGGTTAAGAGTCCTCTAATTTCACTCCATTTTCATTAGGCGGCCTGCCGAGATGAGACCGGTGGCGACGCATCTCCGTTGAGACAACGCATCGTCCGGCGGTGTTCCTCTGACCAGTTGCTCCCGATGTTGGGGTCCTCCATCGATGCACTGCAGCTACTTTGTTTCTTAGTCTTTTGCTCAAGGCCCACACAGTACTATCGTGCATCCCCCGTGTCCCTCCCCTCCAGCCCTCTTTCCCTGTCCTGGCCCCTAGTAGAACGAAACATGATGACATCGGTGGTTCCCCCCCCCCCCCCCCCCCCCCCCCCCCCCCCCCCC